GACCTGTTGCCGGAGCCGCAGAGCCGCACCGCACCGTAGTCAAAAGGGCGGTGTGAGAGGGGGTGTGCGGGAGTTGCGGTCTCCGTCGGCTCGGTAACCGCACCGGAGCCAGTGTGAGCAAGGGGTGAGCCGGGGGTTAGAGTCAGAAAGTGTTCCTCACACCACTGAACAAAGGTTTTAATCTGCTGTCTGTAACCAATTAGGTCTGATGTCCCTAAAATGAGGCAGAGAATAGCTGTGTCATCAGAAAAATTAAACACAGTTGTTTGGTGTATTACATTTGTAGTATTAGGTGTATAAGGTGAATAGAAAAGGTGAACTGACACACCCCTGGGGAGCGCCAGTGCTGATGTTAAGATCAGATAAGGTCCTGTCCCCATAACTTGCTGAGAACGACTAATAAGGAATGAGTGAAACCATCTGGGTATATATGGATTGACATTCATTTTTTTCATTGTAGACATAAGAACGTGAGGCTGGAGAGTATTAAAGGCTGAACTAAAATCAACAAAAAGCAGTCTAGCATAAAATTTTGCATGTTTATGGTGCGAACTTTGGATTCAGATCCCAGTTCACTATGCTTAATTTTAAGAAAAGCAAAAAATTAGTAAATGAGGCTGAACTATATGTAGCTGGAGTTAAGAAGTTTAACAGCTGCAGGGTAGAAACATTTCTGAGCATGTTGGTGTTGATCTGGATGCTGCTCAGCTGTTAGCCTTGGGGAGTGGCTGGAACGGTCTATGTGCAGGATAGGTGTTTCATGATGAAGAGCACCCTCTGAATGCTGATGTCTCACCTGTCACCTAGTGCTGATGTCATAAGCACATTTGGAGAGGAAGCTAAGAAACAGAGAGAGTATATTTCTGCAGCTCCCTCATATGTAGCCCCACTCTGAAGATCTGCTAGTCTGTGCCATGAAAACAGTCCTGCAGCAAAGCAGCTACATCCCTTGGCCACACTGTCACACTGTGGCCATTTTCTTATTTGCTCTAATCCATCTCATTAGCGGTCAATATGCTGATGCCAGCAGAATGGAGATGTGGACAGAGATACCTAGATGAGGCAGAGGAAGGACTCTGTATGCAGAATGATTGTTGTCTCTCCATGTGGGAGAGGTGACATGCTTGTAAAAACTGTATCAACTTTGGCCATTCTCTCCCCAATTCTTTCCTAAGAGATCACTCCGGAAAAAATAACACTGCATAAAGTAATGTATTAAATAACCATCAGACATGACAACAGATTTTGACATAAATTGAAATCTTACTCAGACCAAAGAAATTACTTAGGGTTACAGATGGTAGCGCTTACCAACTGGGCTTGCATCTCCATGAAGTTGGCCCGGCATCACAGTTAGGCATTTTATACAACTGCAGCATCAAACTTTGCTACACCACTTTGACACATGAGGTATGTGAGGATGTCGCCTGGTATAAAGTACGAGTGACATCCTTGGCTCAAGCCATATCAAAATAATACAGTTTTCTTTGATCAAGGCCTTTGTGAATACCCTGCAAGAGATAGCTCGCTGTTAAGAGTCTCTGTTGTGTACAGAATGAACATGATACCTGTAGATCCTGACAGAAGAACTGTCCTAATAAGATAAACTTCTTTGGAAGGCATTGGTTTACTGTATACATGAAGTTCCGGGAGTCTCCCTGATATAGATAGTTGTTCATGGATGCCCGCGAGTCGGATAAATTATCCCGGATTTTAGACTTTGCAAGGTGGTGTTTTATTAATGCGAGCGAGAGCATGCAGGCAATATAATAACTCATGCATCATGTGCGGATTAGAACTACTGCAATTGCGCAGACGCAACAAGAGAGTGCGGGTGTGGGGTGTAGGTTACTTGTGACTCCTGTGCAGCGTGTCTGTTCAAAGCGATGCTTTGTTCAACCAGCACTCCAGGTGGCTGGTTGTCAGAGGGCTGATTGGATCGGTCTGAAAAGTTTTGGGTTAATCTCTGACAGTCACCTATTTACCAATCAAACCTGTGCATCCTGTGAAATGTGAAAGGTTGAATCCATCCATCCATCCATTTTCTTACACGCTTAATCCCAAGCGGGGTCGCAAGGAGTGCTGGTGCCTATCTTCAGCTGCTACGGATGAGAGGCAGGGTACACCCTGGACAGGTCCCCAGACCGAGGTTGAATCCTCAAGTAAAAAATGAAAAAATAGGACTAATTATACAGCAGAATATACTAAAGTATATCCACGTCTAGTGAAGGTAAGGAACATTGCCGGATCTAGACCAAATGTACCAGAGGGCAAGGTGGGGGCCAGCGTGTTTTCATGGGGGCACAGAAAAGCATGAAATAAAAAACAGGGCAAGGGATTCAAATATATCAAAGCTGCATGAAGTGAAATTTCTATTCAATTAGGTTTAATAAAAATTATATTTGTTATGAGGTCATATACATTTATAATTTAGGAATTTGACAAATTTTTTGTCTTGATTTAAGTTAGAACTACCGTTTTCGATAAAATTTGAATCAGAACTCAAGAAAAACTGTTAAATTCATCTGTAAAAATTAGAGCATTTTTTTTTATTTGTTGTTAAAAAAAAACATTTGGCAGATGAAAACTGGGATCCTATCTCAATACCACTGAAGCTATCACCTTATTGTTTTTGAATAATAAGCAAAATAGAACTTGTAAAGAAAAAGAATTAAATAGATCCAAAGGACCTATCAGTAACCATGTCTGTTCCAGTGCAGATCATCATTAGATGAGTTCCCAAAACTCCCTAAAATGAGTTTTTGGAACTTGGGATGTCTGTGTTACAGACAATTAATCCTATGGTTTGACAGACTCACACATCATCATTAAAAAATACTCTAACAGTTCCATGTGATTAAAGTCCCCCTCAACCACCTAAAATGCCTCTGGATTCTTTATCTGCAGCAAGCTAATAGTACAATGCAGCTCAGTTGATACTTTATCAGCATCAATTTCCAGTGGGATGTAAATAATGGTTGGGCATATAACTGTTAAATCAGGTTTCCATTAGGCAAAGAACAGCAGATTCATCATCTCTGTAAAATATACTCAGCCTCAGACAGCAAATCAGTTTTATTATCCAGTGACTGAACAGTGGACAAAAATAGAATTGGAATTGATGGCTTCCGATCCTTTAGCTGGGCCAACTCCCCCGCCCACTTTCCCAGGCTATGCCAGTTTTCAGCCTTGGAGCTGACATCTACATATTGCCTAAATTACAAGATATGCACATCTGCATATCTTCCACCCAAATTGATTTTCAAGGCAAGAGCTGTTTTGTTGCAGTTTTTGGTTCTTTTTTGGTACTTCTTAAATTTGCTCTTGCCATAAAGGAGTGTTTGTTACAATGCTTGAGGATGGAGAGAAATCCTGAGCTTGTTAACATATTTGGACCATAAGCAATAGTAGAATAATAATAGAAGAAAGAACATCTATGGAGGTTGGCACAAATTACCTTTATTACAGCAGGAGGGCAGGTTGGCTTTAGAAAATAAACCAAAAGGAAAAAAAAAAATGTGTGAACTTAAATATCATGGTGTGTTACAAAAAAAGACATAAAATGAGCCCCCAAAAAGACATGTAATGGGGCGGGAGTTTGCAAGTGGATACCTCTTACTTGTCACTACTGTCTTTTTTTCCTCTATAAATTTAGTAAAACTTAATGATGCCTGTCTGTGCCTTAGATGCACAATATTAAGAAAATTGAGTTCATTTATATTCATTTATTTCTAAGTCCATCTATATTGACCCTGTTGGTGGTACATGGTACCCCCCTATTTTTTTCCCCATATAGAGCTTCAGAGCCATAAAGAAGATAATGGTGGCTACGCAGACCTGCACAGCGTGTTATTAACTATGACAAGGCCTTAGCCCCGCATACCATTTTCTTTGTTTTGACATGTAAGAGGCAAACTTCAAACACACAGCTGTGCATGTTTTAGCCGATGTGATTGGCTTTTAGAAGATATAAAGGGCATCCATGGGAGGGATGAAGTAGTTCTCAGTCCATTTCTAAGAAGGGGCAAGTTTGTTTTGTTTTCTGTTTCGAGGAAAAAAGGTGAGATGGATTTTTATCAAATATTTTTCTTTTTTTCTTATCTAATTTTTTATATCTCATTGTTATATCTCATTGTTGCTAGTAAAGTTTTAGTCCTCTTACCTAAAATGCAAACAATCCACTATCAACTTTTATTTCTTTAAAAAAATTAGTTGTTACACTACTTGTTATCTTCATTTAAAGTAGATGTTTTAAAAATAATTTCGATTTCTTTTTCTTTAGAAGACCTCACAATGAAGCAGATTTTAATCTCCATGTGCCTTCTGGCATCAACGTTTGCTGCGCCTGTGAGTTTTGCCTAATGTTTTTTTTTCTTTTTTTTATCTCAGGCTGTGGGACAGATAATTTTAAACTCCTTAAGATTGTTGCTCATCCAGACTGAATAATGGTTGTTTACTTTCCTGTCTTAAACTGTAGGCACCAGGGAGTGACAGTGGTGAGGTAGGAGGATTTCATTCTTCCATTTCCTTTTATTTCATGTCATCAGCTAAACAGTATGATGTCTGTCTAACAGGGAGGAAAAATTGGCTTTGTTGTAGCTTATGTCTGGTGATGTTTATTTTATTTTTTTTCTTAGCAGGTTGCAGCACATGCTAATGAGGCCCTAAGATTGATGGAGATGTACAGGCTATACCAGCAACAGGTAGGGGGATGGGGTTCATTGACTTTCCATCCAGATAAATATAGCTGTTCTGCTCATTAGTTTGGATAAATTGGCATTAAACATGAGCTTCAAGTGTGTAACTGAAACTTTTTTTTAGGGACTAGAAAACCCTTTCCTTCAAGCTGCTAATGCTCCCGTAAGTTTTTTTTAATATCAAAACTTTGTATAAATATTTATATTTACATGAAAACAATAAAGACTAAACAGAGGATTTATTTGTTATTCACTGAAGTATATGTTTTCTTCTTTGGAAAGGCTAAGTCACCTGGTGCTCTTCGGGTGAGTATGAAGGCAGCATTTTGCCGTTCATTTGTCAGGACTTTTAGTGCCATTTAAGGAAGGAAAAAGAAAAAACAAACAAACATTAATTTCAGGTGGATGCTGTGCAAGCCCAGCTGGCTCCCGTCCCTGCAGAGGATGTCTCAGATGAGGAGGCTGAGGTGAGCAAACCACTTGAGTTTTAAGCCAAAAAAATGCTACAAGCAAGCTTCAGAAATCACTGTATTCAACATTTTCAAAATATATTTGTATCTGATTATCAGGTTTTGTTTTAGTATGTTTTTTTACTTGATTGTGCGTCCTTTCATTGTTGGTTGATCAGTGTAACTTGTAATGTTTGCCATATAATGCATGAGTCATTCTGCATAATATACATACCCTTAAACTTGATTTGCTAAACAATGTAATTACTACATATCCAAGCAAGTCTATCACCTGTAGTCTAGAAGCAAATGCTCATTTGTCTGTACACTACTGGATTATATTTGTCCTAATTACAATTATAGATCATTTTAAAAAGGGTATTATCTTATTTCATATTTATTTCAACATCTCATGACCATCCCATGATTTTTTAGATTCCATCTTGCATTAAAATCAGCTTGTTTTGTCCAACAATTATTTCCCATATTTCCTAAATATGACAGACTTCATTCAGTATTTATTCATTTCTGTTAGGATGGGAACCCTGCTCCTAAAGCTGTAGCCCCCGGTGCTGCTGCTGCTCCCCTGAACTCTGATGAAGAGGAGGAGGCTGAAGAGGCAGAGACAGCTGAGCTCGAACCAACCGTGGTTGATGTAGCACCTGCAGACCCAACAATAGCCCCAGCAGCAGACCCCTCAGCAGCCGATGAGCCTGAAGTGGTGGCCATCCCTCCAGGTGTTGCACCAGTTGATGGTGTTGTGGTTGCAGTACCCCCTGTTGATGTTGTTCCTGTGGACGCTGCTTCTGAGGTGGCTGTTGATGTGGCTGGCCCTGTTGCTACTGTTATTCCTGCTGTTGATAATGCTGCAGCCACAGCGGCTGCTGAGGTTTTTGCTACACTGTAATTATCCACCTTTCCCTGTCTGTGAAGGTGTATTCTGCGTTTAGAAAACATCAGTACCAGAAACGCCAGTAGCTTACTTTGTTTGCCCTTCTTGAATGAATAGGAAAGAGGACTTGACAAAATAATAAGTTAAGACTAAGTAATACATGATATGTGAAGATCAGAGGTAGCTTGTCCAAAGTTAACCATTTTTTTTACTCCAGAATTTAATTGGTTAGCATTTTTAGTTTTTTTTTCAACTCTGTAATAAATATGAGTTGTTGTATGTGTCTGATATGTACATCTTACTGCTAAGAATTAAAATAATCAATCTCTCTGAATATAAGCTGCTTTCTTATATTTTTTTTGTCATACAGTAGCAGCTATTCAAAATGGACTTTCCCAGTCAAATGCCAGCTGAATGGTAGCCCACTTTGTGGCTACTCCCAGCAAAATCCCCTTCCAGCCACTGGAGTGACCCCCTCCTTCTCCTGGGCGTGCATATTTTTTTACTCTGACTCCACGTTTTCACTGCATTACAGGGTCTGACCAAGAGGATCTTAATGTCCACAAATCATGACAGAAAGAATATTTTAGTTCAAAGATTGATGTTTAAAAAGGAATTGTAGGGGACCAGCCAAGAGCCCATCAAGAGAATTGGTGAAATTTTGAATAGCTACTATCGTAATCTCATTTTATTGCATTGCATCTGGCCATGATGAATCTGAGTAACAGATGTCAAATGTGTGGTTCCTCAATTCTGATTCAATTCAAAGGCCACTTTTATTCAGTATTGTTATTCTCCCTTGGCTTTTCAAATACAAATGATAAGAAAAACTGTGTTACCATATGCCCATTGTTCTATGCATTCATTTTGAATTCTAAATACATCAACTTAACATAATGTCGAAGACCTACACCCCATGGCAAGCAATCTTTAATCTTGACAGAACATTGCAATTTAAAAATGAACAATGAACAGGCTTGATAAAAAATTTAGCAAGTTTTCTGGATGGCTTGTTCTTTGTCAAAAAAAAAATTCTGAGAGACCTCTTCACTCCGAATTCAAGAAAAACAAGCTATCAGTACAGATTGTCACTGTTAAGTCATTGATCCCCCAATGTAAAAGCACTGCCTACACATGGCACACCATAACTTTTAGATAAACTCAGGCCTTAAAGGCTAAGTTTATTTTGAACTACTCAGAGTGAAGAAGGTTCTCAGAGAGCCTAAATGTTTCGACAAAGAAAAATCCACCTACAAGATGCCTGTGTAAATTCTCAGTCACCTGGGTCATGGCAAACAAAACAAGAGGATTAAATTGGATGGCAACCGGACTTTCACTGAATTTAAGCTAAAGTTCAGTTGTTTTCTACTTGAATTACTGAGATGCAGAAGGGCAATAAAATGGATTTGTAACACCAAAAATATCACCCTTGGTAATCATGGGGAAAACTGCTGACTTGAAGGTAAAAATAGTCACTTATACGTACCTTTCACTTAGAGGGAAAACCAAAAAGCAGCATTGCTCAAGATGTGGCTTGCAGCTGAGCACCTACACAAAGCTTAATAATATGTAGTTGCATGGAGAGAAAAGGTGAGCCAACAACATGCATAACCACAGTCTTGACAGGATTGTGAGTCAAAACACAAAAATTTGCTAAGAGTAAACTCCAGATAGACTGTGTGTTTCAAGTTCAATATCACATGAACATATCTCAGACATAGGCTACAATATTCTCATTTCCTTTTTAAAAACATTTCTAAACCAAACCAGAAAAACATCAGATGTGTCTTTCTTGGGTAAGATGGGACAGTTTTCATTAAATCATAATTAACTGGTACAAGGACAAGCTACACATTACAAAATCAGAGTCAAAAATAACTTAACATTGTGTAAAAAGTAGTGTTGCACTGATAAGTGTCTAAATGTAAAAATATATTTCTTAAATAAGATGACATTTTACCCATGTAAGCTTTATGCATCAAAGCCTCCAGAACTTTTGCCAAAAAACAAAATAATTTTTCCTATTTTTTAAGGAATCTTTATCTCTTTTTTACTTTTAGCAGTGAATTATGTTAAAAATAATCACCATGATTGGTTAAATTTACATGAGACCAGCAATTATTCTTCCGGACATATAGAGCTAAACCTGCCCTTTCTAACTAAATAGTTTTACTGAAGAATCCTAAATATAGAGAACAAGAAAGGACATCATTAAGTCAAATACAAAAAAAATCCTTTTTTAAAGCCTGCTGCTTGTGCAAAGTGAGTTGAACCTCTTAATCCCCTGCTTAGAGTAAAGACAACAGAAGAATATAATAATAATAATAATAATAATAATAATAATAATAATAATAATAATAAT